AAAAAAAAACAAGGTTATTTTTCAAAATATGACCCGTACGTAGCAAAAACTTTATAAAACAAAAATATGGGGCAGATATAACAATACATGTGGTTTCATAATTTTTTTTTCAGCAATCTATACAGATTGTAAAAACCCCTACAAGAAATTAGAGTGGTATGTTTATACAAGCTCATAGGTTGTTTAAAAACTCATTAACTGCAGCATTAAAAGCATCAAAAGTGCAACCAGCATCCTCAACAAAACTCTTGAAAGGCACACTGGGTTTCCCACCAGGAAATACATACTTTCCAAGCGTATCTTCACAATGTGAGACCCTGAAAACAGAAAAGGATAAAATCACTTAAAAAATGCACTTTCTGAACCCAAATATTCCCTCAATACCACATAACTCCGTATTGGTTGTAGATACTTTTAACTATTATTTAGCCGTACTGAACAACAACGAACGCTGATCAAAATTCCATCTATAAGATTATTTTAATCAGAATTTCCAAGAATTTGAAGTGAGACAAGAGCGAATAGTTGCAAAAATCAAACTATTCTCACATACAAGTAGAACAAGAATGCCACAAACAGATGAGCTTCGAATTTGTCTAAGACAACATTTGATGAGTCCAAAGTGAGAGTAGAAAGAAGCGGTTGGGCCTTCTCGTACAAACCACGCAATTTTAACAATGTTTCTAAGTTGGAGAAGCTGAAACAAAACTTTAAAATTTTGCTGTAAGTATACGGTAGAAGCAAATGAAAAAGATTCCTGGTTAATATGCAATCATTAAAGAAGTTAAAGTAAACCTAGGCTTAACAAATCTTGCAAAAACATCTTTTCTTAATGATAACTGATCAATGTTATCAATTTTCGGCAAAAGAATTTCATCCGCAGGTTTTTCATTAGCTCTTTCTCCAGCGTAAAACTGCTTCATCAATATTTCTGCTTCAGAGAGCATATCGTCATCAGAATCAACTCTCCCCTTATGCCGCAAAAAGTCTAGCGATCTGTCCCCAAAAAATCTTCTGAAAATAAAAAAATGGAGCAAAAACGGTAAAAGTTGGCTAGATACTTTTTAAATAAATAAAGAATTAAAGAATGTTCGTCTTCAAAAAAAACAATGACGAACAAATTGCTATAAGAAAAAAACGAATAAAAAATGTAAAATTTATAAGTCGAAGAAAACCATACCAAACTTTTACAACAATAAACTGCACTATGTAAAGTATGGGACTTTCTGTAATGATTTAGAACACCGAAAAAAGCAAATGCTTTCAAAACACGATAATTCTGCAGTGTAATCAAAAATACACAAAAATAAGATTCTAAATAACTATTGCGTTCACTCGTAACTCTAAATCTGAAAAAATCAATAAACATGTCGACCTAGCAAGATTCAGCAATATCTCTTTGTCAAATTCACCCATTTTTTTCGCCACAGAATGGTCCAAAGGTTTTGCTTCAACAAGTAATGGACCTCGTTTTGACTTAAGATCTCCATACTTGCTACGGATCTTAGCCAACCGTTCAGATTCGGAACGCATATTCTGTAAAACCTCAAATTGGGTAAAGTAGCATCTGGACGTTGAAAATCACTAGACAGTCGTAGACTACGCACGAAGTATTAAACAACTTTTTCATCAGTTGTACCAATCAAAACACTACTGTTTCAAAAAACTTTTACATGTAAAAACTCTTATTTTGAAACTTCAGGATTTCTCTTCCAAGAAGCAAAAGAAAAAGCTCAAGGATAGTGACTGATTACCACTTTCCGTTCTGGTAACGAAGACTTTCTACAGACTTGACAAGGTTCATCAACTGACGAAATTTCACTACGAGGAATCAAGTCAGAAGAAGCACCAAACGAAATACCATGCTTTTTACCAGAATGTCTGTTGCCCGAAATGAAAACTTTCTGCGATACAAAATTTGCAATTTCGTCAACAAATAATCTGTCGTCCTCCGCTCGCCTCATATTCTCTTCGTCCTCACTTTCTTCTTCATCGGTTTCATTGCTTTCGCCAACCTACATAAACTAAAAACGGGTCACTTCATAAAAAATCATTTTAAAATTTCTACTGATCGTTATGCACTCTACGCTTAAAAATACAGCACTTCCGTTCAGAAATGTATTGCCCACGTTAAGACTCGTCAGTAAAAATTATAGGCGAATACAATAAAAAGCATACAACTAAATCATTTAACTGCTTTTCGATTCGTTCTTCAACGTAATCAATTTGGGAAAGGGCGCTATTTGGAACTGCCATTTTCTGGCATCCTTCACTAAGGCTGAACTTTTTTTCTAAAAAACAGTTACATGCTAAATTAAAGCCAAGAAAATGAAAAAACTAACAGTAAATAAGAATCCAGAAAAGTCGTAACGAGCGTCCAATAGATATTTAAAGATAAAAAAGAGTTGATGGGCTAACGCAACAATTGAAGCAAACTCACGTTTCTCCATGCCGCGGAGCCATAACGGTTCCTCAAAAAGTTGAAGACGTATTCTGTTGGAAAGCGAAAAACAACTATCACTACAGAATTTATCTCTGTCCGTACTTCGTTCGAAGACCTAAAAAACAAAAAATTTTAGATTTAAGAACGAAAAATAAACTATACCAATTCAAAATCTTCTAAGACTTTGTCAACTTACTGAAAGATGTATTTGATTATGAGTTACATTGAAAATACTCATCAATTAGCGTTAAAGTGGTTCAAAAAACTTAATAAAAAGAATGTATTTTAAAAAAAATTTTCGAAAATTTATGAAGCAAACTAAGACGAACCTTTTTATTTATCCTGTCTATCCGGTACTTCTGAAAAGGCCTCATAACAACAGCATTCGAACAAATTGGGATTCCGCATAATCGACCAAGATAGCGTTCTTCAACAACTTCCATCCAACTATTGACGTCAAGGTAGTTTAGCTACAGATATAAATACTTTTAACTCACTATTTTGGTTAGAGTACCAAAATTAATAAAAAGAAAAGTACATAGGTAACGTCGTGTGTAGAAAATAATAGAAAATAATACTTTCTGAAGCAAGAAATCCGTGCTGACAGTATCAGTAAGCTGCACTATTGTACGGAAAACAATCAACCTTAAACGTTTTTCTTTCTCCAACTGTTCAGTTTTTTCAGAATTCTGAACTTCATTTTCAGAAGAACACTCGGCCTTCATGGTTGCACTTGACACCCCATAAAATATTCAATAAAACCTAAACGAAGCAATCAGAACGCAAGATCATACAGATACTGATACCAAAACAAATACTTATTCCAAAAGTTGAACATTACTGGATTTTATTGCGCTGAAAAAACCAAAACCCTCAGAAAAAAAGATCTATCATCAAAATCCACTGCAAAAAATTACCCAAACTGCTGACAGAATGTCCAGACATCTCTAAGCACAAAGACAGATCTCAAAATAAAATAACAAGTAAAAAATCTAACTGGTTTTTTTCAAAAAGTTTAATTTTCCGCAGAAATTGAACTAAACCTTGCTGCTGAATTCCCAGCAAGGAACTAACCATCTAAGGAGAAAAAACAACTAGAACGAAATCTTCATCAGTGCCTTGCTAGTTTAGTAAGCAAAGAGCAAATTGTATAAAATTGAAGACTAAAATTATCCTTCTCTCCACTCAGAAAGATCCCTTTCAAAGGTTACAACCAATGGGACTCTTAAACCAGGTTACACCGTCTTTCCAATGGAGCCGATAGCGTAAAGGCAACTCCATAAATACGCAACTTTTAAAGATCTGAAATATCTGATTTGGAGAAAGCCCAACAGTCTTGGCACACTGCCAGACCGATGTGCTGCAGTATACTCTTCCAGCAAATTTGGCTCAATGCCATTGTGGTATATTGAGTCACCCGGATGTTATCAGAGCGACCTCGGAAATGGTATGTTTAACTTCTTTGTTAATATTGTAAATGATTTCTTAAAAATGCCATATTGTTCGCAGTTGTTTAATCTGTTTACTTTCCAGATTTGACGCTTTTTGGCCGTCTCGTTGCCGAGATATTGCTGGAAATGTAAGAAGATTTCTATTTTTAACGGTTGCTTTTGAACTTACTGTTATAATTTTATTGCTATCCATAGAAATTTTTTAATTTTGTTGTTATTGTAATCGCCGTAAACTGTAGATGATAAACGTGAAAAAAAGGGGGTTTGCCGAGCATTTTTAGAGAAAAAATATTTTGAATGAAATAACTAAAAAAGTTCAATTTTTTAATAATTGAAAAAGGCTTTAAAATGTTACTGTAAAGGTAATTTTTTGCAAAGGAAACGAAAAATACAAGAAAAGGGGAAATATTTACTAAGTAAAAATTGAAAAAAAATTAAAAGGTTATGCAAAATTGTTGAAAATGGATTCTTAAAAGTTAGACATATTCTATGTTCAAGTCGTATTTTATTTAAAAAACGGTCGCTACTTACCTAGTTTAGGAAGTTACTATCAGTGAAACCAGCAGCATGTTTTACGGTTAAATACCGCATTGAAGAGAGCATTTTTGCTTCTCCGTGGCAGATATTTGACAACTTTATCGCACATTACAGCAGCATTAGACATAATACTCTTGTACATTATCAGTTTTCAGCAGCTAATATTTCAGGAGCTCCATAAAAAGTTCCAAAAAAATTTTGCAGGTCTTAGCGGAAACTCTTTGATTTCAATTGTATTCAACTTATTTTGTATTTTTATATTTTTCTTTGTTTTTTCTTGCAAGTATAACGCCGGGAACATTGTTGTATTCGTTTGCGTACATGGCAAAAAAAAAAATTGTTTTGTGTTTTTGAGGGAAGCTTTTTTTTTTCAAATTGAACATTCACTGCTCTACAAACATGACAAGAAATAATTTTGCTGAAGATAAAAAGTGACGAAAAAGAGCAAAAAATGGGAATATGCATAAATTTTTTTATTTAAGTAGAATTTTTTCTCCTAAAAGTTCTTTCTTACTTCGACAGAATTTGGTTTGTAAAAAGCCTTGCAATTTTACAGTTGCTGCAACTGGTTGTTGCGAGTACATTTTTTAACTGACAATACTTTTATCTTGGTCTACGTAATTTCACAGCTTGAAAGAGTTTTTAACGAGAAAGCTTAGAATGTAGTTGAGGTAATGACACATGTATAGAAAATTTATCGCATTTTTTTCAATGTTATGCGTCCTCTTTTTTTAAACGAAACAAAAAAATTTGTCTTATTTATAAAGTTTTATTGTTTACTTTCAAACCTGACAATCAGAAATTGTTATTGTATGGTAAATATGGTAAAAATTATGTATCATACACTAATCAACACATCTCAACACACCTTAACAGTAACTCAAGCTATATGCGTTTTAATGAAGTGTCAACTGGATAGCACATTTTCTCTACAGCCTTATGTTTTAATCTGAATAGCTTCTTTACTATATGGCTGATAACATAGTTCAAGTGTTAGTGTCAGTTTATCAAGTAACTACTGACCAGAAAAATGTTCGCATTTGGCAATAATCATTATAACGCTTTACACATGCCTTTCAGATCACTGCTCTTTCCGTCTAGCTCGATTCTGCTACTTCCAGTGAAGATATTTTAACTTAATTGTTACCGTTTGTCCCAAATTGCTTCAATTAGCCTGTCAAAAGTCGCACACAAAAGATTTTTTGACGGTCTTTGCTGTAAATTAACCTGAGTTAAAGACTTTCCATTTTATTTCTATTCTAAATGACATTTTGATTTGTTGCAATAAAAAAAAACTGTTTTATTTCCAGTTAAAGCGACATTCGAACGCACACTTCAACTGAAAAATAGAATTTAATGCACATTACAGTTGAAAAGCACTGATACCACATAATTTTATGTCCTCAGTTTTACAGCTTATTCTTTTATTGTAGTTAACTTCATTTTTTTTTTATCAGTTCATAATCTACTCATCGTTTACAACGCTCTATCAAACGATTAGTTTTTGTAAATAACTGATTTCAAAAACTCTGTTACCATTTGATAAGAGGTTGAAAAAACTATAAAAGAATTATATTGCTTAAAAACCATTTTTTCCTACAACTTGGAAGCATTTTCTTCATGGAGCTTAAAAGCAAAGGTGGGATTGACTACACAGGCCACTAGTACCATGCAACTAGGCAAAAACCTGACTGCTTACGTACTGCATACAAGCGCATCAAAACCGGATAAAGTATCTTTAGAACGGCCAGTGCTGCAGTACTAATCATACTACAACAAACAGAATCAGTATTCAGAATGGTATTCCAAAAGCAAAAGTTTACTGGCAATTGAGGCAGCGAGGTATGGTACAGCAAGTTTACTTGATTTCGTTAGCAACAACCTTAAAACTGAAACGAAAACACTTTATCGTGTTTGAAGTTCTTCCTCAGATTTTCTTTAATTTTTCTTTTCTTCCTTAGGTTCAGTGCACTTTTTTTTGATAATCATCTTCTCTGACTGTCTCTTCGTTTGTTATGGTCAATTATTCACTTTGTACTTCTTTACTTTGTACTATTAGCTAACAGTTTTGGTAATTTTCTTAAAACTTTTTACATCACAGACGAGAATAGTAGCGTGCAGAAAAAAGTGCTATATTCTCCAATTTTTAAAGACTGAAGTATAAAGTCAATTAAAAAGATATAAAAGGAAGAAGTAAAAAAGTAAAGCAATTAAGTGGAAACATTTAATTACCTGTGTCGGCATTGCACTTAAAAGTATTTTTTTTTTTGTCATCAAAGGTACTTTGTTAACGAAAAATCTTTTGATTCATAACTCAAATATCTACTGCTACTAAATTTAATAAAAAGTTATTAAACATTTCTGCACTAGTACATAAATAGTCTTAAATATTTTTAACTACAACCAATATTGATTCTTTAGTGTACAAACGCCGCTTGTAGAAACAGTATAGTTTTAGAAACAGCAACCTGTTCGTAACCAGACTAAATTATTGTATATTAGAGCTGCCTAACTTTACATATTCAGTGGACAACAGTATAATACAATCAGTAATAAATTGGTATAATTAATGTTTTTTGAGTATCTGTAACATTTTTCTCGAATAACGATAAAAGTAAGACAAAAAAAAATATGGTTAATAATAATATTACTGATAATTCTACAACATTTTACCATGTATTAGTTCATTTTTGTAAAAATTTTTTGGTCCTTAATAGTAACAGATAATCATGCAAAGCAACAACCAGCGCATATCATATCTCGACGTTTGTCATTCAAATAATTCGATCTAAAAAAAGTATTTGTTTTTAGGTATTTGTTGTGGAATAACTACCAAGTTATTTTCCACATTCTTGTTTCAGAGGAAGGCAGGGAATTCTGTTTGCTTACTGAAGTAATGAATTAAAGAACAACAGCAAAAAAGGATTCCAGCTATCGGTCATCTTATTTTATTCGTCACTATATCTGCACCTTTCCAGTCAAATATAAGCCATTCCTCCAGTCACTAAGATGGTTAATTTTATTCTAAATTTTACTTAAATGGTTATTATCTTTTTAAGTAAACAATTTTTACTAAACTTTTGGCTAAATTAACATACAAAAATTAACGGCAAATAGTTTATCGTCTTTTGTTGATTAGTGAGAAATGGTTAACAATTTTTTGAAATATGATCTTCGCTTTAAATATTTCCATTTGAATACATTTTCACCTTTTTTTTTACGGAAACTTATTTTAATGACAAAATGGTTTTTTGTTTCTTTTGTCCACAAAAAAGAACATCATTTGTTCAAAGGATGCAAAAGATTATCTAAATAAAGAAAAGCCTGCTGAAACACCACAGATCGGCTTTTACGTATATATTTTATGCTTTGTGGCAGTTATTGGAGGCTTTCTTTTCGGCTATGACAGTGCAGTCGTCTCAAGTGCAATGCTTTACATTCCGGATGCTGATGGTATGAAAAAATTGAGCGTTATTTGGAAGCAGCTTATTGTCAGCATTACACCAGGTTAGTGTTATTCTACCAAATCGCCGCACGTGTTTTACTGTTCTTTCAATAAACAGAAATTAACTCTTCAAACATATCATTCAATGAGCGAAATATTTTTGGAAACGATGTAATAAAAACTTTTCAATTAAAATTGTACCAAACATTTACAAAAGTAATTTATTTTCAATAAATGTGAAACAATATTTATCTTGAGTTTTAATCCGCATAGTATTCTCTGTTTCTAAATTTTTAACGCACTTGAAATAGGACTAAACAATTTCAAATTTTGTTCAGGATTCTCATTATTTGAATGAAATCACAGTAAATAATAAAAAAAATTCTTTCCAAACTTATTGAAGACATCAAAATATTAACAATTACATGGTAATATGTAATGTACATTCATGTTACCGGATTTGTCACCAGTTATTTTCCCATTATCAACGTCGTCATTAATTTATTTTATTCACTGTTACTTCAAAGTAAAAAAAGTAAGAAACTTTTTCTTAGTAATGGTTAATCGTTTACAATATCACTGAAAAATTTTAGGCTTAGCAGCTATTGGAGCGCTACTTGCAGCACCATCTTCTGATCATTTTGGGAGAAAGAAAGTCATCATTTTTTCTAGTTTGGTTTTCACGATTGGCGGTATAGTCTGTGCCGTTTCTCCTGAGAAGATAACATTATTCTTCGGAAGAATGCTTTTGGGATTAGCCATTGGTAAAATGTTAATTTTTTTATTATAATCATCAATAAAGGAGATTTAACACTGAAGTAACAGTTAAAACAAATGTTTGAAGGTCTGTCGTCTGTCATTGTGCCAGTTTATGTTGGCGAAACATCGCCAGCATATATGCGTGGATTTCTTCTAACAGCCTTTCAAGTGATGATATGTTTTGGCGAAATGTCTGCTAGCCTAATATCAGGTTTAATTAAAGACAAAAATTTCAACTTGGTTAAGCAACCTAAAACTCAGCTGAAATTATTCCGCTGCTTTAGTATGTTTTTAGGATTAGACTAAACTTATGTAGTTTGATAAGTATATTACAAAATATAAGGCAGTTTGTAAGTCTTTTAAGAAGTTTTTGCTAAGTGCACAGTGAATAATTTAACAAATGAAATAGTACTTCTCTGTAATTTATTTTAGGTGCTTTTTCATACATTGATCCTGAAAAAGTTGGATGGAGGTTAATGATGGGATTTACATCAGTTCCCTCGTTTATCCAACTCGTTGGTTTTCTTTTTCTGCCAGAAAGTCCGCGTTATCTGTTCAAAAAAGGACAGGAAATATTGACAAAGAAGGCAATTTTTGTTTGTTATAAGCAAAAATAGTTTGGAGCAGATAGTAAATAAATTCAGATTTTAGCAGTTCGAAGAAACGCTTTGTAGGTTCTTAGTAAAATCTACAAAAATGATCTGAATTGGGTGGAATATGAAAAGGCTGAAATAGCAAGAGTTTGTCAGCAGGAATTGGAAGCAAAAGCAACAGCTACAAGTACAGTAATTTATTATGTGACAAAAATTTTAGTTTCCTTTCTTTTACAACTGTTACCATTTATACATTGTTAGTATAACTTAATGAAAACGGTATTGGTATGTTCCAATATAAATTATAGCTTATAGCATTGATAAAGTAAGTTCTTGTTGTCATATTGTAAAGTTAACATAGCATCTCAAAAAGCAATACAGTTCTCCAAAATTGCTATCTTGTTTTATGTAAAATATTTTTGCTAGTCTAACATTTTATTTTTTTTTTCTTGGTTAAGAAAAAATGCTCTAACAGACACTCAGAACATTTTCGAGATAATAGTTTTTGAAGCTTTTATTGAAATATGGTGGAGGATAGATGAAACTGATTGTAACTAAAAACGGGGTACACTTCAGAAAGCGATTTCTTGACCAATATCTTTGGAAAGTGTGAACGACTACATCACTACCAACTTTTTACACCAACCATAATGTCGTCAGAATTTACAGCTTTGTTTATAACTTATAAAATTTTGTATTTTTTTGTAGAATTTTCTTTTTTTATTTTTTTTTTTTTGAAAAAATGCTTTTTTTTTAACTTTAAAATAACATTTGTTTAATAAATTAAGTGCATACTGTATCAGTAAGCTGTCATTCATTTATGTTTAAGAAAAATATGATTGATTATTTTTTTATAGTGTAAATTTAAATGTGGTAAAAATGTTTTTTAAATTATTTTGGAATCATTATTTGAATATTAGCTAAAAATAAATAGGTAGAGAATTTTTTTTTTTTGTTTCAGATGAAATTGTAATTGTTCGAATGTTGAAAACACGACATGTTCGTAAAGCATTAATTATTGGCTGTTTATTACAGATGTTCCAACAGCTATGCGGCATTAATGCTATTATGCATGTTTTACACTAATATTTTCCTTGATCATTTGTAGTATTCTAAAGAAGTTTAATCATGTTCTATTTAATAACTTTGTTTTAACAATTGTTTTTTTTTCGCTTTTCTCTACTAAGAACAGTTCATTTAATTTAGGTATTACACAGGAACAATAATAAAAACTGCAGGTATTGAAGATACACAAACGTCAATTTGGCTTTCTTCAGTAGTAGCAGGTAATTTTTAAACAATGATTTTGCTGTTATTATTTTTACCATTTTTACCATCAATACCATTTTTCATTTAAAATTTATCATCATTTGAATCTGTCTGTAGACAATCATTGAAGCAGAAGAAAAAAAAAAAATTTATTTTTACAACTTTATAAAAACAGTTTTGTTTACGTAAGAAATTTTCAGGAGTTTTTTTTTTTGGGTACTTTTGTACCACTATTTTTGATTGACAAATTCGGTCGCCGTTTATTGTTGCTAATATCAGTTGCCGGTGTCGATGTTGCTCTGTTTTTAACTGCTGTTGCATTCTTGTTGATTAATCGAGATTCAGATCTTGTAAACACTGAAGTTGCTTCAGAATACAATATTACTGATTCTTCATGTTTCGGATACAGGTGTTTCAATTTTTTACTTTAAACAAATTTACACTAACAAATCTATTTCTGATTGCACAGTTTTTTTTAGCTGGTATCTTAAATTTCTTTTAAACTTTGTCGCATAGTAGAACCAAAATTTAAACTGAAAGAAAAACCAAACAAACGATCGAAAAAGTAAAACTTTGCATAATTTATCTCTTGAGACACAACCAACAGAAATACTCTGAGAATTTTTGCTTGAAAAAGTTGAAGAAAAGAAAACAGAAAATGTCATGTAAAATTGTAAGCAAAGTCATGTTTTGACCTTTTTAACAGCATTTTATGTGAGATTTTTTGTTGTTTAAAGTAAAAAAGTTTTAAAATAAAGAAATGTTGCATAAAATATATTTTTTACAAAGACTTTCAATGATTTCTTTTCCAGGATAGATTTTTTTTTTTTTTTTTTTGTTAACAGCAGAATATAACAAAAGCAATGTAAGTAAAAATGCACTGAATGGTTAGACTAACAAACAAAAATTGCAGTCAAAGTTGTCTAAGATGAAATTCTGAACACTATTCACACTACGAAAGTTTTTTTGTCTTATTTCATAAACACAGTCTTAAATACAAATTTTTTCCAATGAATTTTTTTTGCTCTATATCAGCTAACGGTTAAATTCAATTAAGTTTAGTAACTGCGACTACTGTGTAACCGACGACAACTGCGGATTCTGTTATCTCAAAGACTCTGATATTCTTGGGTAAAAAAAAAAAGCTTACAATTCAAACGTTTATTAGATTTTTTACTTTGTTAAGGTTATAATTTAGAAGTTATAATTATTAGTAAAACAAA